CCTAGAAACCAATCAGCTGCCATTTTTTTTTTGTGTCAAAGATTCATTGAACAAGATGAAGTAAGAAGCTGATTGGCTACCATGCACAACTGCAGCAGATTTTGCACTCCCCAGTTTTAGTAAATCAACTCTAATGACATTCGAAGAAAGATAAACTGTGCAATAAATGTATAATATCCGTTACAGTAAGTATCATACATGCATGTAGGGTTCATTGTTTTCAAAGTAGGTTATGTCAGTGCTATATAAATTAGTAAAATAAAATAACTCGCTCTAAAATGCTAAAATAACCAACTTGTTAAAAACTTCTTAAAGGATAAGTTCACCTTTGGGAACACGTTACATGTTCCACCCCCTTTTTACGCTAGGTTCACATCTGTGCAGGTGGTGCCGCTGTGGATCCGCATGAAAATCCGTGCAGCCGCACCACCCTCACAAAGAATTACGGACCCGCGGGCGGGTGCTATTAGTTCTAATGGCACGCCGCCTGCACTGGGAAACGCAACCGTACTGGGAACCTCGGCTGCGTTTTCCAAAGAAGTGCCGGGACTTATTCCCTGCGTGTCACGGGCACGGGAGTCCATTCAAATGAATGGGCTCTCGTGCCCATGTAAAACACGGCCCGCACGCCCTCATATATGTGAACCGGGGGTCAGGCTGAAACATATAACTTGTTCCCAATGCTGCAGCCACCACCCGCTGCCCCTCCCTGTGACAGAAGTACGGGGCGAAGTTCCTCCACTGGCTGTCAGTATTTAAAAACAACACAGCTGTGCGTGGCTCCAGCCACATGGCCACATCATTCGTTCACAGAGTTCTGTGAATGAATGAACTACAAGTCCCGACAGCCTTGGCGCCTGTCAGCTTGTAGTTCTCAATGAACTACCACAGTGCTGTGGAGCGCCGTGGTAGTTCCATGACTCCTCCTGTCAGTACATCTGCTTTTCCTTACATCCTGTACGGGTAAGCAGATATACTGATAGGTCTGCAGGAGACCTGCATGGCACCAGCGACTTGTAATGCTCTACAGGCTCCTGCAGTCAAAAATAATAACTGCACCTTTTCTTACCTTGAAAAAAAAAATGTGCATTTATTATTTTTGTGCAAAAGGTGAACTTATCCTTTACATTCATTACTCTGTTATTCTGTAAAATGAAACTAGGATCATTTTACATTTTTGAAAATATATATGTAAATATGTTCAGCTTCATGCAACTCATTTTCTTAACGAATGTCAACCTCTTGCTGACCAAAAAATGCGTATATGGTGGACTTTACTGCCTGGCTACACATATGTGTCCACTGGGGCATACGGTTGTGTGTTGTGAATGCACTCCCAGCCAGGGGTGGACTGACCATTTGGAAACTCGGGCACTGCCCGAGGGCCCGGGGTCAGTAGGGGGCCCCATGAGATGCCCCTGGTACCTTTTTCATAGGCTTTTTTGAGTTTGGGCAAGGCCACGGGGGCCCTATGATCCCCTATTGCCCGGGGGCCCCATGAGTTGTCAGTCCGTCCCCTGCTCCCAGCACACTGACCGATCTGTCACCGAAAGGCTTCTAATTGGGAGCCAGCAGGACAGGCTGCCAATCATGTAACCACTGTGATACCCAATCACATCAGTTACATGATACAGAAGCCCATCACTTCCTCGACTATTAAAGGGATGCCCAGGAGGGAGCGGGAAAAGGCAGCGTTAAGAGGTTAATGTTTTAAAACTCTCATTTATGTATATTGTGTCTTAGGTCTGTTCACACTGAAAAATGCACAGGAATGTGATCAAGAATGCAGCTCTGTGCATTGCAATTTCAGTCCATTCATCCACTACTTTTGGAAATGCACTGCAACCTGATTGCATGGTACTGTTGTACGATGCGATCTGATCCAGGCAAGCGCACTTTTGCTTGGAGTGTTATCAATTTATTACTGACACCTGCTGCAGATTGCAACTGCAGTGTGGTTTAAACATGGTGTTGGAAACACGCAACATGTTCTAGTGTGAGCTGGTCTTGAATGTACACATTTGCGGACACCTTATCATCACACCTACTATATAGCCCCTCCGCGAAGAATGCAATTCAGGTGTTTGCAGAAAAGGGAAGTAGGAATACTAGAAAAAACAAAGACATTTTAGACCAAACCTCAACACTCCATCTGAGGTAAAACTACAAATCCCATTATGTGTCTGCCTCTGGGAGTCATGTGTATGGCTGTGAGAGTCTTCCAATGCCTCAAAGGCCTGGAAGCCAAGCTTGCCTACCTGTTTTAGGCTACGTTCACACTAGCCTTGTTTGCTAGCGGCAGAAAGGCATTTGGGAACCATTTTTACCGCTTCCCAAACGCCTCGGACAATTCTGCCCATTGCAACACATGGTGCTGTTCTAACGGGAGCGGTAGCGTTGCGTCGCGGCAAAACGGACACCTCTGGTCGAGTCAGGAGGCGTTGAAGCCTCCTACTCTAGTCTATGGTGCCGCTACGCAAACACCCGGTCGGCGTTTGCGGTGTGGTTGCGACGCGGTTGCAGGGCGTTTGCGGAGCGGTAACATTCAAACTTCATTATAGGCGTTTGTGGGGCGTTTCTAACGCTCGGCAAACGCCTAGCAACCGCCACTAAACCGCGCATGCGGCGTTTGCGGAGCGTTTGCCGAGCGTTAAAGAACGCTCCGCAAACGCTGGAACAACGCTTGCCAAACGCTATAGGGGCATTTGGCAAGCGTTGGTAAAACAGTCAAGTATGAACGAGCCCTTAGAGACCTGTTCACTTCCAACCTTTTAGCGACAGTTTGAAAAAGGTCCCTTTTTTTTGTTCCAGCATGTGTGTGTTGCTGTTCTAAAAAAAAGTAGCTGTTTGTTTGACCATGTCCTGTGCAGAGCAATTCTGAATGGGAGGTTCTGGTTCATTATAATCACCTGGTGCACTTTCAATGTTCTGGTGAAAAAAGTTGCAGTGTCTGTCTTCCTTTAGAATTAACCCACTAGAGAACATCTCACCAAAAATTAGGTTTCTGTAGCAGAGGATGCCTAAAATCTGATTTGTAGTGCAGACTATTTGAAAAATCAGTCAGCCAATTGCACAAGCAGGAAATTAAATTTGTTTGGAGGAGTTCTCTACACAAACCAACAGTTGCCATACCGCCCTGAATTTTAAAGTAAATTTGCTCCGGCCATCTGACTGGCCAAGCCACGATGACGTCACTCCCACGCATGCGTGTGGAAGTTTCGGGTCGTGGCATGGAACTCTGAAGGGCCAGCGGAGGTATACCATTCCTTCAGAGTGCATGCGCAGGTGGTGTCACCGGCTGTATGCAGTGTGAATATCTCCTAAACAGTGCAAGCTGTACCTACAGATAAGTCTTATTATAGGCTTACCTGTAGGTACAAGTTAAAGCGGAGTTCCACTCACTCTGTAAAAAAATAAAAGTTAGCAGCTACAAAAACTGTAGTTGCTGACTTTTAAAAAACAGCCACTTACCTGTCTCACGATCCCGCGGTGCCCCTGCCACAGCCCGCTTCACCGGCCGTCCTGTATTCCAGGCGCCGGCATCTTCAGTGTGGGCACCCGGCTGTGACAGCTTGCGGCTTCACAGCAGGGTGCCCACTGCGCATGCGCGAGTAGCGCTGCGCTTCCTGAATGGTCCCTTCATCTTCTGGGAGCTGTCACATGTCCAACAACACTACGGGGAGGGAGGGTAGGAGGACAACTCCGATCGCCTAGTTCAGGGGTAGGCAACCTGTGCCTCTCTAGCTGTTGTGGAACTACATTTCCCATGAGGCATTGCAAAGATTACAAAACTGACAGTTACAGCTATGACTTGTAGAGCCATAATGGAACTTATAGTCCTGCGGCTCTCAGGTTGCCTACCCCTGACCTAGGCAATCGCAGCGAAAGTGGGAGCAGGTACCTGTCAATTTTGGGTATCCGCTCCCCCCTGCTCCCCAAAGGTGCCAATCCTTAATGGGGAGTGGGGGACCAATCTTTAAAGCAGAACTTCCCCTTTTGGGTGGAACTCAGCTTTAATTTTAAGGGCTAGCTACTGGATGCAGTCCAGTGCACTTTTTTTCTGCACCAAAAATGCATGCACAGTGTTTTCCATGTATTCCAGTGGCCCTAGTTCACACCAGTGCAGTCAGTTCCAGTCAGTTTCCGGAGCAGAAGACTTCACTTCCACATTAAGTGATTTCTAGCTAAGCCATAGAGGTGAATGCAAAGTAACTGTCACTGGGACGGGGGGGGGGGGGGGGGGGGGGCTAGGGGCCTGTTGCCAACATGAAGCGCTGTTCAAACTCTGAAAGGCTGAGCTTTAAATTGCTGAAACTTTTGCAAAGTTCCACAGAAAAGTAACTATGATTTTTTTTCAGCAAAAAAAAAAATGAAGAGAATCGCTGCAAATAAATTGCTTGCGTGATTTGGCCTTAAGGCTGCATAGAGACACTTCTAGCTCTTTCTATAAACCAATCTGTGACTTAGTGGCACTCAGCCAAGTGTACACAGTTAGAGGCGCACACACCATCATGTGGCTGCAGAAAGCACGATAGGATTGTGTAAGCTGCAGCATGTCGCTGTGTCAGCTCTGAGCTCAGGATTCCGGACATTGCTTTGCTGAATCACAGTGACTGAGCTGTCGGGCTAAACCAACAACAAGCGAGCAAGGGGTGTGTGGAAAGCATAGACGCTGAAATATTCTCCGTTTACCATCAAGCAGCCATGGTTGATAATAAAAATACGTCTCCTGATAAATATTTCCTCTCCGTCATTTTATTTCTGCTGCCCTGCTGATCCGCCTATTTAGGAGACAGTGGTAGGACCGTGATAAAAAAAAAAGTGGGGAAGCCCGGAAGCTTGTATATATGTATCACAGACAGCTCAGACACATTGTGATCTGGACAAGCGGGTCCGGGATACTGAGAATGGGCCTGGCTCGCAAGATGATGACAGGCGATACGACGCAGGATGGCAGAAGTATACACTCGGGTAATATCTTGGATGTGCACAACATTCCCATGAGAGTGCTGATCCGGCCCATCCCATCAGAACTGGATGAGAGTAAAGTGCAGAGTCTCGTGGACACCCTGCAGGTATATTAACTTTCTTTTCCTTCTCTTCATCCTACAGCACTGCCTCCTATTACAGAATACTGAACTAGTTATTAAAAGTATAACTAAAGGCAAAACTTTTTTTTTTTGGTAGTTTTGTATGTAATAGAGAGGAATTTTAATACCCGTCAGTCATTTGTGGTTGCAGGAAAGACAATTGCATCATCTATGGCTTGCTTTAGACCAGGGTGTTCAACCTGTGGCTTGTGGGGCACATGTGGACCTCGGAGCCCTCTAATGTGGCCCTCCACCTCAAACTGAATTCAGAAGTTTTGGTGCACTTTCAGAAAGTGCACCACACCCACAAGAGATAATAGTAATTTATAGCAAAGAGCTGTTAACCCGCAGGAAAGCCGCAGGTGCAAAAATCTGCACCCGCGGTGCAGGTAAACCACCCATGCTTTAGATCGGGGGTCAGCAACATTTAGATCGCGATCTACCAGTAGACCGCAGCCAGGTGACTGGTAGATCGCGGTCTGGGTTTGCTGACCTGCCATCCCAGAGCATCCCGGTGCGGGTAAACCACAGCACATCAGTGTGAAAGCAGCCTTGTAGTGGGCTCAGGACAGTAAGGACTCCTTGACATTTGTGGTTTTGGGGGGCAGTAAAACCCCATACTTTAGACATCAGGGGTGTAGCGTCAGGGGTTGCAATGGCAACACCACCCCATGCTCCAGGGGGCCCGTGCAGCCTCCCTGTCACATTCTGTTTTACACTTGCACTGGAGGAGCAGCAGTGGTGGCATATACTGGTTCCACTTTCAACTGCTGAAAGCCAGTTTCCCCTTCTCTCTCCCTCCCACCAGCATTCAGCAGCTGCTATTCAAAATAAAAAAATCAACATTCAGAACCATTTCATTTCATTATAGGCCATGACCAGCTACCAAATAACTTAAGTGGCCCTCGCTCCTCAAAAGGTTGAGCACCCATGCTTTAGATCGGGGGTCAGCAACCTTTAGATCGCAATCTACTAGTAGGTCGATGCAGACTGATGTAAACTGAACTGAACTCATTTAGACCCCTTTCACATGGACGTTCAGATTGGGTCCGCCTGCCCGTTTTTCAGACACACACGATCAGAACCTGTATTGTCCTCTAAGGAGAGGTGGGTGTACTTGGACATGAGTCCATTTACACCCGCCGACATCCAATCCAATCTGCTCTGCCAAAAAGGAACAGATGGGGATCCATTTCCCTTCCGTCCGTTGGATGGGATGGGATGGCAGTCGAATTGAAAGGGACAGGTGGTCCGTTTCCATCTGATCGCTCACAGAGGACAGCAGGCTGTGTCTGTGTCCGCACGGAGCGGACACGGACCTGTCGTCCACTTGCTCAGCAGAGATCAGCGAAGAGATCCCCCGCTGAGCAAGCGGATCCGCTGATGGGTCCACCACATGTGAAAGGGGCCATAAACTGATGTAAACTGATCTGATCTAAACTGAACTAAGATCTAAACTGATCTAAGTGAACTGACATAAACTGAACTGAAAACTGATGTAAAAACTGATATAAACTGATGTACACTGCATCCGGTTTTTCTTTGAAAACAAGTAACTAAACAGATAACTCCAGTGTAAAAGGGGCCTAAAGGGAATTTACAAGAAGAGGGGAGTACAGCTTGGTCCTCAGCAATCTCATTTTTCCCATTTATAAATCAATGAGGATGTACATGACAGGGACCTGAAATGATTACTATACTGGCTAGGCAACACAACAATGGTTGTGAAGTGCAATATTTTGGCAGTGAAACATTTCCCATACAGTATTTTGATTTCAAGTATACTTCATTTGTTGTGTTTTAAAATATATGACTTGTGTTACAGGAAGATGCAGACCAGGTGCCCCCTATTGATGTTCTCTGGATCAAAGGGCGCAATGGAGGTGATTACTTTTACTCATTCGGTGGATGTCATCGTTATGCGGCACATCAGAGGCTCAACAGAGAAACTATATCAGCCAAAATTATCCAGTCTTCTATCAGCGATCTACGTACATACCTGGGTTCCAGCACACCTGACCTGCAATAGTCTGGGTCTAAATGCTAATGAGCGGAGAAGATGATCATTTATCCTCGTAGAATTCTGCGGGAATGTCCTAAACATGCACAATGAACAGCAAACACCTAAGCCCAACTCACGCACAACTCTTAAAGTCCTTCGTGGATTTCACTATGCTAGGCCTCCATCCATCATCCGTTGATACAATAGAAGCTGTATGGAAAAAGCCACAGACACCAAGGAGGCACAACCCTGCACTGTACAGTGAAAGTTTAAAATGTGAATAAAAGAACATTTCCCTTTTTCATATGAACGTTCTCACGCGATTCTGAGGAGCAACGGCAAGGCCTGCTTTATTTTCAAGCAGAACTCTTTGAATGCAAAACTTATAGTTTTAAGTCTGTTGGAAAATGAGATATTTTTTAAAATATGCAGATTGTAGTAATAATTGTATACGACCATTATAATTTCTACTTATGTTTAACTTATAAAACAGTTTAAAAATGTAAATATAAAAAAGCGATTTTGTTTGCGTGATTGTTCTGCTAGCTTTGTTTACTGAAGTCAACGCAATCAGAACCAGGGGCAGACTGACAACTCATGGGACCCCCGGGCAATAGGGGATCATGGGGCCCCTGTGTCCTTGCCCAAACTCAAAAAAGCCTATGAAAAAGGTACCAGGGGCATTTCATGGGGCCCCCTACTGACACCGGGCCCTCGGGCAGTGCCCGAGTTTCCAAATGGTCAGTCCGCCCCTGATCAGAACTAAGATGTATAGTCAGCAGCCCTGGGAGGTGTTTGAAAACAGAAAAAAGCAGTTCTGGCTTTAATACTAACCTCCTCCCTGTCAATGTTCCCTGCAGTAATTGCTTTCCAAAGTCCTCAGTCCCCCGAATTGCATGACCCCGGATGTTAATCGACCCCGGATGTCATTCGGCCCAGGACAATGAAATACTGTGGGCATATACATTTTTTTTTAACAATACTTTATTTAACAATTCCACCAGCACAGATACAGCAGTCATTGAGAGGATGCATCAAGGAATGTAGAGTACAGCAGGGCGTCTTTTCAGGGGGAACGTAGTTTTGACACCTCTGGTATTGAATGTATGTAATGACAAGGGGTACTGGGGTGTGCTGGAGGGTCTACTGATGCTGGCTGCTGAGGGATTTATTATCTTAGGTATATTTTGGGTCACGAAAATATTATCATTTTTGTAAGTATTCTGCGGAATACTGGAACTGTACACAGTAAAATCATGTGTTTGTGTGTTTCAACCTGGTACAAGGTTTTATATACACCTAATCATGTTCAACCTGGAAAACCATTGGCTTAGAGTTGGGGGTTTAGATGGCTTCTAGTTCCTGGGAATGCATACCCTGGCCACATTTAACAGGTGGATCAACAACAATTTATTTGACCTTTTCCTGTACAACAGTGTCAGATTCAGAAAGACTTTGGGAGGATTACTGGTTAATGCGGAACTACACTGTATCTGAGCACCACAAGCCAAAAACACTATTTATTTCATTTACTCAAAGCAAACTCCCCCATTCATCCATGTCTCCATGCTTTATTTTGCAAAGAAATCACTTTGAAAAACACCCCCTAGCATTTCTGGCCGTGGTCATGTTGAGTAACGGCAGATGATTCATTTAGCATTTCCTTCCTGGAATCTATCTGCCCTTAGCTCAGCCATGCAGGCAGGAGGCTGTTCTTAGCTTAGAAAACCCCTCCTCCCCTCCTGAAGACTCCTCAAATGTAGGACATCATTTGCCTAGGCATACGAACCAGGAAGTAACTGAAGAAATGTAAAAAAAAAATTTAAATCAGGTAAATGCAATATAATTTTCTATCTATTTACTAATGTTAGCAGCATAAGGATTTAAAACAGTCAATGTTGACTGAGAGAGCGAAGTTCCACTTTAAGGAAATGCCTCTGAGCTGGGTGATAGTTATGTGACCTTTCACCAGAATGGAAGCAGCAGCTGCCAATTCAGTAATGCTCTAGAATGGGTGTATTACTTTTTGAATAAAAAATACATTCTTCATTTATAGAGACATTAAAGTAGAACTATAGGCAAACCTTTTTTTATCTTGGATAGAGCAGGGGAAGGTTATAACCCCAATCCAATTTTATTTTTTTATTTTTTGCCATCTGTGTCCCATTGGGGAGATTTCCCATCACATCCTGTCCCATAGCAAAACAGGAAGTGAGAAAAAATCCCAGCAAATTAAGAGAACCCCTTAGGTCACCAGAACTAGTGTCCTCATTGGACGATTTCCCCTCTATTGCTTTGGGACTTTCTTTACATTCACTTTCAATGACAGGTGTTCTAATCTCTATCCAAAAAAAAAAGTTTTTGTAGCTGCTGACTTTTATTTTTTCGCAGTGTGACTGGAACTCCGCTTTAAAGAGGTTGTAAATCCTTCCATATACCCAGTGAAGTCACTGGCCTCAGGTCATACACAGAGGATAAACAAATCCTCCTACAGAAATTGTATCTGTTTATCTACAGCCGCCTATCTCCTACATCCATTCAAAGTGCAGAATTTACACAGGATCTCTCAGCTCCGAAAAGTAGTGGGCAGGGACATGAAGTTACATCAGTGAGGAGAGCTCTGATAGATGATTGGAGGAAAGGGACACACTCCCTTCACACAGCACATAGGACCAGAGCTGAGGCTGTCAATCACAGGCTAAGCCCTCCCCTGTCACCATTTTTCTCTTGGTGTCAGGAAAACTTGTGACTCGTGTAGATATCAGAGGAAGAAGGCAGGGGACAGAAATGACACTTAGTGCTCTGGATTGAGATAAGTACACACTATAGAGGGATATGCTTTGTTCATATTTCCTGTCTGTGGTTAACAACCACTGTAAAAGACACCCCCCTCCTTGCTGAAACTGGGATAACTGCAATTTCCACCAGAAAGTCGGCCATGAGAGCAGCAACTTGGCTCTGGTCAGGAGTTGAATATACAGAGTGTGTCTGGACTGGGAGGATATACAGTATCATAAAAATGTCTGCTTGCCTCTTCGGTCATCCAATAAACAAACACAGTCTTGGAACAATAGTGGCACACAGGATGCGGGGTGGTATGAACTTGTTTCCTTAAAAATGCCTCTGTGTACTGTTATTTAGTTTACAAAATGTTGAGGCATTATTTTTCTTTTCACTGTACTGTAGGGATACTTAGGAAAATATTTTTTCTCCTCTAACGGAACAAAAAGCTCTGAGAAAACACATTTATGTAATGAATACACAACTTTAAAAAAATAATTTTGGATCTGCAGTGAGCTGGATATGTGCATAATGGCAGCAATCAGTAAGCCAAAGGAGACACTGTACAAACCACCCTTGCATGTAACACACGTTGCCATTGTCAAGTAACTAGTAGTTGAGAAAAAGACGTATCGGTGCTTATTATTTACATTTCTAAATATAGCAGAGCGCTGTATAGGAGTTCTTGTACTCTGCGCTGTTCTCTGCCTGGGTGCTTCAGAGGATTATTCAACATGGCTACACACAGAGTGAATGTTCTATTTAAAGCACAACCTCACCAGAGATCTTGGCAACACTCATGTTCCTGATTCTTACTCGAGTTGATGGCTCAGCTCAAAGCCATCAACCTAGACAAGAAGAATATCTTCAGTGGATGAGTTCTCGATGGCTTCCAGGAGGCGTGTGTTCTTGCGGATACTAATAATTTAAAAAAACATCTCCCACTAGAGTACATCAAGGTGACCATAGACAGAAGACTGTTTGATTTGGCAAATTTTGGGTGAATTGGGAGAGAATTTTGATGGTAAATTTCCTTTTCTATGGGCACAAGCAGACACTTATGGCCACCAAGTCTTAAAGGGGAAAAAATATCAGGTTATATATCCCTAAAGACAAGCTAGTGTTGGAGGTGTCCAGCCAAGCTTATTCTGCCATACAGCCATTCTTGCTTGAACAATCCAAGGGGTTCTTTATATCTGACAGCCAGAAGGTAATCAATAATTTTAGACAATTGAAACTTGCCTTCCTAAGTGAACTGTTAATTTAAGAGACAGGTTCTCTTACCTAATCTAAATCCCGCTCATAAGACAGCATCAAAGTATGCAGCAGATGAACTGGAAAACATGGCTCTGACCCTGTTTTTCTCTGACTTGACGTAACTGCAATATAATTAATCCCGATTTAATTAACTGCTTGATGTCCTACACAATTTTTAACATCATTCATTGTAATCGTCGCAGGCCAACTCATCTGGAAAATGAAGTCGCAACTCAGGCTAACACCATTTTGTTTGCCACAGTCATTCTTCATTATATGGTGAAGCTTGTGACTTAAATTTCTTTATGTTTACCCAAATGTATTCTGAAATAAGAGAGAGATAGATATGGGATAGATAGATAGATAGATAGATAGATAGATAGATATGGGAAGGATAGATAGATAGATAGATAGATAGATAGATAGATAGATAGATAGATAGATAGATATGGGAAGGATAGATAGATAGATAGATAGATAGATATGGGAAGGATAGATAGATAGATAGATAGATAGATAGATAGATAGATAGATAGATAGATAGATGGAGGAGATAGATAGATAGATAGATAGATAGATAGATAGATAGATAGATAGATAGATAGATAGATAGATAGATAGATATGGGAGGGATAGATAGATAGATAGATAGATATGGGAGAGATAGATAGACAGATAGATAGATAGATAGATAGATAGATAGATAGATAGATAGATAGATATGGGAGGGATAGATAGATAGATAGACAGATAGATAGCTATGGGAGGGATAGATAGATAGATAGATAGATAGATAGATAGATAGATAGATAGATAGATAGATATGGGAGGGATAGATAGATAGATAGATAGATAGATAGATAGATAGACAGATAGATAGATATGGGAGGGATAGATAGATAGATAGATAGATAGATAGATAGATAGATAGATAGATAGATAGATATGGGAGGGATAGATAGATAGATAGAGATAGATAGATAGATAGA